CACGGGGTTTTTAACAGGACACTGCTTTCTCAACGAATAGCTTAGTAGATTCAAGCTAAGAAACAACGGCAAATGCAGATTCTATAGGAAAAATGGGTAAACACCAGAATACCTCATCAGTGAGTGGACTGAGACGGCCAATATTCGTGCCATAAACCTTGGTACGACTTTTATCGGAGATGGAGAGCTAACCTCTCTAAAACAGTCTCAAATACTGGCTTTTGTTAGTTTTAAAACTAGTCAAGTATTCATTTTAGTTGTACCATACATATTAAAAAAAAACATAAGAGTCACAATTAGTCTGCGTTGACTTTTAAATCAGATGCTTAAAGGCCTTTAAAGGCCATGACACACGAGCTAGCGTCACGACACGCGTCACGTAACACGTCACGAAAAGTGGTAATTATCGAAAAAGTGGTAAGCCAATGAGGAAGTTGCAATAGGTCTCTGGAGCCCTATGTGAGTTAGGCAGCTGAAATTCGGAATGTAAAATATTTTCATGATATTTTGACGACGTTTCGTGCAATATGAAGAAAAAAAAATTATATATGAAGTCTTTATCGCGACATCTTTATAGCAAAGGAACTAATCTAAACACGCTTGAGTTTACTATATCGCGTGGTTATACGGGAAGTAGTTTCCATTTTCTTGCAGTGGCAAAATACCCATATAGGATGTTTCGGAGAGATTTTCAATTTCGCTCTGTATTTCAGGAACTAAGAGGGCTAGGACAAATCTGTGTGTAGAAAAAATCTAGTGAAAAACCGCATATTTGTATCCCTACTCATAAGCGAGATACCCTGTAAAACACGAAAATGGGACATCCTGTACAGTATGTTGCCGTTAGACGGCTTTTACACACACACACACACACACACCACATTATAAAAATATCATACCGCCGGACGGCGGTATTTTTCGTAAACGCTACAATGTCACCGACGGTTGTTGAATAGCCAGTGCGTTTTTAAAAGCGAAGTCTTTTGTTTTCTTCTTCCCTGTGCCACTGATCCTTCTGGTATGGTATACCTCCAAAACATCCTTGTCTCTTTTGCTCCTATTATCTTTCTCTTCATCTTCTTCTTCGTTGCTCCGTGTCATCATCTCGTGCAACGTATCGACGGACCTTAACTTATAACAAATGACCGTAATCTGTCATTGGGATTTAACACAAAATCTGTGTTAAGTCGATGACGCCCCGGTAAGCCGACATGCCATTGTGATTGTATCGCTGTGATTCGAGCGGAGATATTGTTTCTGTCGGGCCATTTAGGCCTTGTTATGAGACAGCATATCGATGCTTTCTTTTACCTATGGAGGCTAGAGGTAAGGAAATACATTTAAAAGAGTATACCGCGGGTATCGCTTAAATTATTGTTCCAATATTGAAGGATGCACTGAAAAAAAAGAAACCTTGTATTTTTTAATAGACTTTTACTAAAAAATGTCTATACCTATGTGGCGGATTACTGTATGTAAGATCATACCTGTCAGAAAATATCATACCGGAGAATGTTTTGTATGTTTAGAAATAGACAACTTTGCACTATATAGCGTTTATATAAGCCCTAAAGTACCCATGTTTTCTTTGAAACTTGTCTTAACACCTTACAGACAGATATTGCAGAAAGGAAAAAAAAGTCATTGTAACAGGAGATTTTACCTGTAAACTTACCTTCGAAGTGACATGATTGTGCTTCATTTGAACCGATGTTACCTCGAGTGCTTTTCCATCAGACGATGCTTTGAATCTTACGTGTACTGGGCAATCTTCTTTAAATGTCCAAGACTGTCGAATTTTTTCCCACTGCCCTTAAACTTCTTTCCACCGGGATTACATGCATATAGAAGTTGATAATAAATCAAAAAACTTTCTATTGGTCTCACAATTTTACTGCTTGCAATCGTACGGGCATCTCGTTTCCAAAATGTTGTGTACGTATTTTCACCAAGTTCCTCAATCGCTTTCTTTGCGTCAGCGAATGAGCTGAACCTATCCCCAATTTTCAGCATGCTAATTTCAGTCATGAAAAATAATTAGGTACCCTAACTGAAACACTTCAATCTCCGGATTGTCACGGGGTTTTTAACAGGACACTGTCTCCTCAATGAACACCTCAGTAGATTGAAACAAAGAAGAAACGGCGAATGCAGATTCTGTGGGGAAGATGGGGAAACACCAGTACACCTCATCACTGAGTGCGCCGAGACGACAACCATTCGTGCCATGAATTTTGGTACGACTGATATTGGAGATGGAGAACTACCCTCTATAAAACCGTCCCAGATACTGGCTTTTGTCAAAGCCCTGGGACTCTATGATGAGTTATGATTCAAGAAAGGGGGACACAATGGATCTGTAAGGTCGCAGTGATTAACCCCCCCTCCCACTCATTCTAAATTCTAAAAAAAACTGAAACACTTACTCCATCCTGAACCGATAATATCCAGTATGTACACCTTAATTAAAATCAACTTATAGCACTTAGCACAAATTGTTACTACAATAATATGCAAACGCGACGAAAAAAACATACCAAAAGGGCAACGGAAAACGGAACACAAATTGATTAATGGCATTTTAGTACGCGACCGTTCGACGGCATTTTAACCAAAGCATTAAAAAGCCGTCAAGTGCGTCACATCATCGACGTCATATCTATTAACGGCATTTCAGTAGGCTACCGTTTAACGGCAGTTTAAGTACAGCGAAGATTATTTAAGAAAGGGAGATTTTCACAAATCTAAGAATTGTTAGCATTCATGGGACACAGGGCACAGAATAAATTTTAATAACACCAAAATTATAATGAAAGAAGTGAGAGCTTCTAAAAGAAAAATAAAAGAGGCTTTTTTAATACAATCTAATAAAAATAAATATATTGCTCATGCATCTGTAGATGTTAGTAATGTATGGCAATCGCTTCTTTGATTTTAAAGATCATAACATAAATAAACATAACATACGTAAAAATTAAAAATAATCATACAGAAAGTTTGAGCTGCTGTTTTAAAAGAATTAAAGTGTTCTCGAATAGCTATTTTATTTTGTAGATTTTCTTGCAGTGGCGAAATACCCATATAGGATTTTTTGGAGAGATTTTTACTATTCAAAGCTATTAAAATGCTATGAAAATGGAACGTCTGGATTTTTTTAAACGGCTGGCTAGAGCAGGTGTTACAACCCCATTGAAGAAAAAAGATTGTCCAAATAAAAATTTTCAAGAGAACTTACTACAGAGAGAATATTGGAGGACATGGTATGCGAAACAAACACCTGAAGAGGAGCACATAGCAATGAGACATCTTTACTCTAATCTAGTCCTTATAATAAAAAAATAAGAACACAGTATATCTGTACAGTTTGTAAAAAATATTTGTCTACGTTGCTTAAGAGAAACTATACTGTTTTATTAGGAGTAAAAATTATTCTTTTAATGGCGAGGCTGTACGTTTGACGAGACTAACATTGCAGGCTAGGTACGAAAAGTCATATTTATATACTTCTAACAGAACATGCTATTTTTTTCAAACGCCACAAATAATTTTTTAAACAATTTCAAACGTTCCAAATAATATAAAAAGATTTAAAAGTAATACCTTGTATGTAATTATATATCGAGAAACTATGGTTACGCTCGTTGAATTTGACACTTTATGTCAGTTTAATAATACCGGGTGCGTCTCAAAAGTGGCTCGCCCCTATAACTTTTTTATTTTTTCAGATAAAAAAACGAGATTTGGTATGTTAGTATATGACATAAATTAGGATTGATTGACGTATTCAATTATTTTCACTTCCTGTTTTACCGGAAATGACTGCAACTTTTGATTTTTAAATGGAACCCTCCGTTTTTTACTTTATTTGATAGAAAATGACACTCTGAATCGAGTGACATATCATATGTCAACTTTTGATATATTCGTTCAAAAACAAATTGTATTTTAAATTTTAATCTAGAGTGCCATGGTTGTGTTAAAAGCACTAATTTTTAATCAAGGAGCCTTAGAAACGTAAATTTGATCGTTTAATGTTTTTAGTGTCTTATCCTGGCTGGTTAAAAGATGCCCAAATCGTATTTTTAATCATATCTCAATTTTTTCAAATGGAACGAGGGTGGCTCATTAGCATATTTGGAAAAAGCATTTTTTTGCGAATAATTTGATACCACACACTTGATATTTCGAGTCAAATTGTCGTTACAAACCGCATGGATGATCATGAGGTTACAATTTAAAGTAAACCATTAGAAAAAATGTCAAAAGTTGACATATGATATGTCATTCTATTCAGAGTGTCATTTTCTATCGAATAAAGTAAAAATATACCGAGGATGAAATTTAAAAATCAAAAGTAGTCATTTCCGGTGAAACAGGAGGTGACCAAAAACAATTGAATACGTCAATCAGCTCCAAACCAAACCAAACCAAACCAAAAGTAACAGTTGCCAGCACGGTATACTAACATACTAAATTTCCTTCTTTTTTATCTTAAAAAATAAAAAAGTTATAGGGGTGACTCACTTTTGAGACGCACCCGGTATATTTTCGTACTTTTATGCTTAGGCGTGAAAGTGCTTTATTTTTATGCCTAGGAGTTAAAATGACTTTTTATTGACAATCACGTCCCAAAAATTAATACTTTTGTGACGTTTGAAAAAAAAATCATTTAGACAGGTGCAAAAGGATTAGGTACTTTTTAATCTTTACCATATAATTTTTAAAATAAAGTTTGTTTTTCGATTTATAACTGTATATGTGTATATATTTTTAACTAAATCATGTAAACTCACTTAAAAAGAGGTGTCTACCAGACCACTCTGTAGCGATTAAAGGAAAATTATCCAGTGTAGCTGTTAAATGTTAAAAATAAAAAAAAAACAACTTAACAAATTAAAATCACATTTTATTATAAAGAGAAACGATCTTGTTTTCTTTAAATTTACACACCATTTGACAAACAAATGTATACAAAACTAACTAATAATATAATTCACAACTTTAATTTGTAGCTTGAAAACACTGAAAACCATACATTTATCATTACGTTGTTTTATAAAGGAAGTTAAAAAACGCATATAGTCTTTGTGAAACCTACAAAAAAAATCAATATTTTACTTTATCTACAGGGTTGTTCACCACATACGACACGGAGTATTGTAGCTAAACGATTAGATTTTTACAAATTGTAAGTTTTGGGTTCGTTGAAGGACTATTAGAGCTACAATTTAAAAATATTTTTACAGAGTGTCCCAAATAAATAAAAAATGTCAAAGTTGTATTTTTTTAAATAGAACATCCTGTATATAATTGCATTTTTAGTTTCTACGATTAAAATAAAGGTAAATTTGATCAAGGTTTATTACACTTAGACCTTACCGTTTTTGGAATATTTTCAATTTTGTAAAATTGCAGTATAAATTTTAAGGCTTCATTTCTCCGAGGGCATCAATGTTTTTTATACTAAATATTTACTGAAGTTTATTTATTGATCAGTTATTGTGTTGCAATAATAAAAATTATACTACCTTATACAGAGTGACTAAAAAATTATTTTAAATAATTATTAGCTTTAAACGGCAATAACTTGTTTAATTTAAATGGAATACCTTGTATATTTTATGAGAATCAGATGCACAATTTAATTGTCTATCAAATTGTATTATACCACTTTTTACCTATCTCTTCAAGTTTTCGTAGAAAATGCATTTACTTATAATTTAGACCTCATTTATCAATATACACATGGAATATTGACATTTTAGATAGTTTTTAAAACAACAAATGTACAAAATGTACAGGCTAGTAATATTGTCGTTTTTAGTAAAACGATGATATTACTAGCCCATTTGTATGCAAAAAGAAAACTATTTAAATCTTTATAAAAGAGTATACCATTAATTAAATATACCACCAGTATTTCCGCCCATATATTAATTAATTACCTACATACTTAATTGTGTTCGTTAATAAACTATTCTAAATAAATGTGGATTTGAATCAGAAATCAATATAATAATAAGTTCTGAAAATGAACGTCTCTGTTAATAAATAAAAAATAAATAAGCATTTGTCAAAAAATGAAATATCATTTTTAAGGTGTTAGTTTTTTACCACACTGTCTAATACACATAAATAATTCAGTTTTTTAGTATTTGGAGCAATTATTATTAATCAACGCAAAGAGTCAATTAATGTAATTTGAATACTGGAATCATATTAATTGGTCCTCTTTAACAAATATTTAAACAGTTTTTTTTATTTTTTAATGAAATAAACGAACTATATTGACAATATTAGAATCTATACTCTTTAAAAATTTGGTACATCTTTAAAAATAATCTTAAATGCCAGTATTCCATGGGTTGAGTTCATTGATAAATGAGTTCTAAATTACAAGAAAATGCATATTCTACGGAAGCTTGAAGAGATAGGTAAAAAATGGTATAACACAATTTGATAGACAATTAAGTTGTGCATCTGATTCTCATAAAATATACAGAGTGTTCTATTTAAATTAAACAAGTTATTGCCGTTTAAAGCTAATAATTATTTAAAATAAATATTTAGACACTCTGTATAAGGTAGTAAAATTTTTATTATTGCAACACAATAACTGATCAACAAATAAACTTCAGTAAATATTTAGTATTAAAAACTTTGATACCCTCGGAAAAATGAAGCCTTAAAATTTATACTGCAATTTCACAAAATTGAAAATATTTCCAAAACGGTAAGGTTTTGTAAGTGTAAATTTACCTTTATTTTAATTGTAGAAACTAAAACTGTAACAATATACAGGGTGTTCCATTTAAAAAAATACAACTTTGATATTTTTTATTTATTTGGTACACTCTGTAACATGTAAAAATATTTTTAAATTGTAGCTCTAATGGTCCTTCAACGAACCTAAAACTTACAATTTGTATAAATCTAATCGTTTAGCTACAATATTCCGTGTCGTATGTGGTGAACAACCCTGTATGTTTATCTAAAAAAAATTATACAGGGAATATTGGAAAAAGAAATGCTAAAATACCTGTTTTACTTGCGTACCTTAATAAGATATAACCGGTTAAAATTATCGTTGAATGAAATCGGCAACTTTGTTACAATTTGGGTATTGGTCAATATTATTAGATATGCCTTTTTGTTCTTCTTGTTCCAAGCATACCATGGCATCTCCAGAAATTTCTGGTACACCTTACTATACTATAAAAATAGGTTTTTGAGTGAATAAAATTAATTTGTTATGAATAATCTAGAAACCTCGTCTTGCATTTTTTGTCCAGAGTTATAATGATGATACATTCCATAGGGATAGCCAATCGAGAAGCACAACATGGCGATTATAGATACCTGCAAAGTAGATTAATTTATTAATCTTTATCCTTTTAAATAACACAACACTGGAAATAGTAGAATATACAGGGTGGCGCACCTCATTCGCCTCGGTTGATTATACGAAAACGAAAAGATGTAGAAACATGAGGCAATGTGCACAATTTAAAATTATTTTAATTAATTTTTAATTTAAAATTATTTTATTTAAGAAGAATGTACAGGGGGTGGGTCAAATTCAACGCTTTTAAATGGAAACAGCCTTTTCTATAGGAGATAGACAAAAACTAATATCGGTGTCTGGAGCTCAATTTTTGTCAAAAACACGATGGTGAAAACTGTTACCGTTTCGGAGTTACGGGGTGTTTTTCAAAAATATGCATTTCTAACAAATCGCTGTAACTTTTTTGCTATGGAAAATTTTGTATTTTTATGAAACCATTTCCAAAGCACCTTTTACGTAGAATTTAATGGTTTAAGTATAATTTTTTTAAAATTAATAATTTAAGAACTATCAACAGAAAATTTGATTTTTTATATGGGACACCCTGTATATTTTTAATTAGTAGAAAAAAATTTAAAATTACCCTTCCAAAAATATAGCATAATTCAGATTTTGCTCGATTTCTCTTCGAGATATAGAGTTTTTAAAAAAATCGCCCACTTTGAATAAGTAGGCTTTGAACGACGCCGGCTGTAATGCAAAAAATTCTAGCTGTGAGCAGCAATTAAAACGAAAATAATATTTGCTATGAGAGATGCAGCATTTTATAACAATTTAAACTATATTTAACCAACATCAACACATTTAAACTATATCTAATAACAATAAAAATAAATAGCAAACCAAAACATGAGATTTTTGAGACGGGGCAGTTTTTAAACATTTCTCGCGGAATTCATTAACTCAGTGGGGGTGAAAGATACCCTCTCATAACTGCTAAGTATTTCTAATTCTTGTCTAGATTATACGGAAGAATAAGGAACCTTTATTCTCCCGCAAATATATTCATAGGATTAGATCCATGGGCAGTAAGTCAGGCGGCGTCGACGGCCAACGGCTGGGATCTTGGTTAGCTATTCAATTATTCTTGAAATTGGCTGCAAAAATTTGCCAATAACTTCAGCGTTCAGAGGCGGTGCGTCGTCTTGCTGGAAAAATATGTTTTCAAGTTCCATTAAGGACATATCATCAATAAGGGGTCCAAAGCCTACTAGTTAAAAGTGGCGGTATCTGTTACCGTTTCGGAGTCCGTGAAAATTATGTTGATGAAATAAAAATTTATTTCAAATTTGTTACTTACTTTTGTAAAATGATTTAACATAAATATTAAAACAATGGTGTAAAGATATCCAATCAATATGGCGATACCAGCTATGAAACGAATATACATTTTGGACCACAAATCATTGATGAATCTGAAACAAAATATGAGTATTAATAAAGGTATTAATACATACGAGGGTTGTCTTATATTGTCGCTGTTATGTATGGAAACGGTCGATTATTAGGTAGCTCTATACTATATGAGCCCTAGTATAACATAGGAGGTACCGCAAAAAGTTAAACATAAAAGTTATCGGATTTTAAAATATATATTAGCGAGTGATATATTTAAGTCACTACACTAGTATGGAGCAAATGGCCGCCAGATTTACGGATGAAATCGAGAATTTTAAAAAGGCCCTCAAGGATAAAAATTCGGACAGTGGAAAGTCAAGTCATGTAAGTGATCAAGATCGATGGGATGTTTCTGATTTGGAGAAAAAATTTCATCCCTTTCAAATGTCTGTTATGAGTTCAATAGAAATGTTGAAGGACGATTTAGACCGATTGAAAACCGAACCATCAACCAATCAAATGCTTGAATGCCAATCTGGTTTTCGTAAGAACTACAGCACTAGCACTTGTCTACTGAAGCTGGTTAATGATATTAGAACAAATCAAGAAAATAAAAATATGACTTGTCTTAGCTTACTAGACTTTAGTAAAGCATTTGATACTCTAGACCATTCATTGCTCCTAGTAAAATTACAGTATTTTGGATCTTCAGACGGCTCTTTAGAATTGATAAAAAAACCTTTTAAAAGATAGATCACATTGTGTTGCCATGAAACGAGGAAGTTTAAAACAAAAATCTAGTTATATTCCTATGATTTCTGGGGTTCCTCAGGGATCTATTCTGGGGCCACTTTTATTTTCGTTATATGTGGCTGACATGGATAAGGAAGTACAGTTTTCTAAATTGCAGCAATATGCAGATGATTCTCAAATGTATTGCAAAATAGATATTAATAATTTAGAACAATTTCAATTAAATTTTTACCACGATCTGAATAAAATTAATAAATATACTCTGGATCATAATTTGAAATTAAATGCCGGTAAATCTTGTGTTATAGTATTTGGTAGTGATATAAACAAAATTACAAATACGGCTGGTAACATGAATATCCATATAGATAATGTTGCGATACCCATTGTTACAGAGACTAAAAATCTTGGAGTCTATTTTGATGCGAAGCTTTCTTTTCAGGCACATATAACTACTAAATTAAAGGCTGCTTATATACGGTTGAAGAATTTTTCATCTCTTAAGAAATATATACCATCAAAGACTAAGTATCAATTATGTGACACACTTATTTTATCTTTATTTGATTACGGCGATTTTGTTTATGGTACATCCATAAACGCTAGATTCTCTAGAAAAATCCAAATACTTCAAAACTCGTGTCTACGGTTTTCTTTTAACAGTCCTTTTAGAGATCATATAAAGCCATATCTTAAAAATTTATCTATTTTATCCATGACTAACAGACGACAATTTCATTTAATGACATCCATTTATCGAATTTTAACTACAGAACAGCTTCCCTATTTGTTCTCATTATTTCACTATGTTGACCATGCTCATTCGACTAGGCAAGTGCATTATTTTAAAATTCCTCAACACCGAACAGCTAACTTCCAAAAATCTTTCAGTTTCATAGCACCACATTTGTGGAATAATATTTCTAATAACTTTAAATTTCAATCCTTTACAGATTATAAAAAAACAAATTAAAAATCATTTACTAAATTCGTGAAAATTATAATATATTTGACTGATTTGTGAGGTTCTTGTTCTTCTGATATGTCCGTCATTGGTTGCTGTTCCGGATTTTACACTGTTTCGTTATGCCTCTCTGCTTATCTCCGCTCATCCCTGATAAAATTATATTTTATCTTTTTTTGTTTATTTATCTGATTTCTGTTTATTTTTGTAATGTAATTTATTTCTATTTTGTTTTTGGGGTCGCACCACTCTGGCACTTTGTGTCTTTGTATCGGTTTTTTAATCGCGGTGCGGTCCCTTGAGACACACATTTATTAAGAATTGTAAAATTATTAATTTGTAAAACGTAATGGGGTCTAATAAAAAATTTTGAATTTGAATTTAAATTTGAATTTAAAAACCCTAAAAACGGTTAATGTTAGGTACAGATTGTCTGATATATAAATTCACAAAATTTAATAGATAACAGAAATGTTCACAAAAAAAATTAAAACGTGCCTACTTCACATAAAATCATTCATTATGACATTAAAACTCAGTATGCAAAGTTTCATAACATTCCGTAAAAGGCTTATGCCTCAAAAATCCGTGCGAAATTATCGTAATCGTAATTGCCATGAAAATTCTCACACGTATACAGGGTGTCCAGTTTAAAATGAGGTACCTACGTGGGGAATAATGGGGATCTTGAAGACCGTTAAAGTTCCAAGATCGGTAAAATAGAAGAAAAGTTGCGTTTTTGTGTGTCCAAAAATAATCTAGGTCTATTTTATTTAATATTCATATACCGTTACGTAAATACAGGGAGAAAAAGAAAAATGTGCATGTTCTAAACACCACCATATTTTCTTTATTATTGGAGCTAAGGTCATCAAAACTTTAACATAGCGGTACGGCAATATGGAAATTTTAAAAATCATGTTTAAAAAAGTCTAGGCTTACTACGTTGCGCATGGCCGAAGTGCACTTTTGCTTTTCCTATGGGCGCCGTATTGAAATACATGGTTGAAAACATTTTTAATAAGGATTTTTACAATGCCAAATTTAAATATGGTGCTCATAAGAAAAATAAAAGCTGACCTCGGCCGTGCGCAACATAGAAGGCCTAGGTTTTTCTTGATATTATTTTTAAAATTGCCATGTTGCCTTGCCCATATATTGAAATTTTGATTACCTTAGCTCCAATAATAAAGAAAATATGGTGGTTTTTCGAAAATGTTCATGTTTTCTTTTTCGCCTTGTATCTACGTGACGGTGTGGATTTAAAATAAAATAGACATAGATTATTTTTGGGCACACAAATACGCAACTTTGCTTCCATTTAACCCACTTTCTATCTTCAACGGTTTCCAAGATCCCCATGTACCTCATTTTAAATTGGACACCCTATAGGACCCATATTAAGCGAAAAATTTACAAGTGAAAAAATTGATAAAAAAACTTTTTAAAAACAAGCTTAAAATTAAATGCACTTAAAAGTAGAAAATAAGAATTAAAAGCAAGGGGCGCAAAGTAATGAGTTAAACTTCTGTGGATTATTTTTTGAAGTATTAATACACCCAAGGACAAAACACCACTTATTTGAACTCATTTTACTTCTTCAAAACACCAAAACAATGAAAATAAACAATACACCTTTGCGAACGTCTTAGTCAAAGAGCTGGCTACATAAAAAACCTTATCATCGTTACATGGCTAATTTTTTGTGTGAAGTATCCTTTTGTGTAGCCATTATGAAATAGTCATGTCTGCCAGCGCGATTCCGGGGCTTAAAGCGGCGGCGGCCAATCGAAAGGGTGAAATTTTGACACTAAAAATATTATAAGATACATAAGTTATATATAATTGTGAAAATGGCTTTTATTTATTATTAAGAAACGTGGAAAATTATTGGCAGACATTTTTCTAGTCGCTAAAATGCCGACAGACAACGCGAAAGAGGCATGAAATTTTAAAAATTATTAAAAAATTAAATTTGAAGAATGAAAAAAATTATGGCATATTTCCATGCCGATTGGTGAAATGTCATATTTATTTATCTTAAAAGCCGTATGCAAAAGGGCAGACAAAAAGATCGTGGCTCAATCAGATGCAGACAGTTATCAAAAGCGCGATATTACTCCAGCGCGATTCTCTCTATTACTCTTTATTCAGGGAACGCTGGCCGCCTCATCCATTTAAGTATAGATAAATCATATAATATACGATTATATTATAAATATTTTTTTTTATTATTTTAATAACGATTTTTTTTGTCTGCCCTTTTGCATACGGCTTTTTAAATTAATTAACAATAAATATGACATTCCACCAACCGACATGCATGTATGCGATGATTTTCTTTTATCAAAATTCTATGCCTCTTTCGCGTTGTCTGCCGGCATTTCAGCCACGAGAAAAATGTCTGTCAACAATTTTACACGATTTCTAATAATAAATAAGAGCTATTTGGCAATTATAACTCGTGTACCTTATAATATTTTTAGTGTCAAAATTTCACCCTATGGAGTGGCCGCCCCCGTTTTAAGCGCCGGGATCGCGCTGGCAGACATGACTATTTCACAATGGCAACACAAAAGGATACTTCACACAAATTAGCCATGTAACGATGATAAGGTTTTTTATGTAGCCAGCTCTCGATCTATCTGTAAAAACAATTGCCGCATTGTTTTGTGCACCATCGTACGGACGCCATCGATCGATCAAAGCAGTGACGTCAAAAACAGGTAGCCTCAAGCCGGGTACGTTTTCTAGCCTTGCCGTATTTCTCAATTTTGTTTTGCGTTTATGTGAGACAATTATAGTTTTTAAGTCAACTTCCGGTATTTCCAAAAGTGTCGTCATATTGAAAATATTTTTAATCGATAGATTTCATTCTGAAACAACGATGTGCAAAAAATCTCCAATCTAGATTTTGTAGTTCCCTAGAAACTTCTAATGCACGTTCAGCCTGAGACACCCAGTATATACATTCTGACTTTCGCAGTATAAAATTTCTATACAAATAAAAGGAATAACTGTAACAAAAGTATCAAAATATATTAAAAAATAAAGAATATAAACTTACGTCTGAAGTGTAATTTTTCTTCGATATATGAAAATAATTTCTTTGTAAACTTCATTCTGATAACTTTCATTGTAAAGTAGTTCTGTCCAATTGTATGTCCAGTCACCACTAAATACTATGCTTTGTTTAATGTAATTATTTAACAAATATATCTGTAAAAGATAAAGCAATCACTACTTATTAACAAAAATAAATATATCAGTTGCTATAAAATTTCCGTGTCACAGTTTTAGTTACCGTACTCCTCCGAAACGGCTTGACTGATTTCTATGAAATTTTCGAGGGGTGTCTACTACTGGAATTACATTTACATTTTCTTGGCAGTCGCTGGCAGTCATTGGCAGTCTTACGGCAGTCACCTATAATAATTACATGGCAGACATAGGCAGTCTTTTTGGCTGTGATCGGCAGTCGCTTGGTAGAAAGATGATATTTTGGCAGTACATGTTCATTTTTTACCCAAGTGAGACACCCCTCGGAAATTTTATATGTATACTAGCGTGTGTCTGCGACTTCGTTCGCGTCGAATTAATCATTTGTACGAGCCTAACAACTATATGTTGGGACAAAGTCTTTTTTTGCAATAAAAACAGTAATTTGTTAAAACGACTCAATTTATTTTGTTTATTATTCTAAATTCAAACATTACAATATGATCTAGACAATTTTACTATATTTTTATAACTTTGCAAACAAATCACTTTTGATAATAGCTTATTTTGCCAAAATCAAGCTAAATTTGCTGACAACTATATATTGGGACAGCACAACAAGAAATTTGTTTAATACGGCGGAGTTACATCACTTTTCGCTTTAACAACTGCCTGAACTTAATGGCATTGTATTTACCAAAGATTGGCACATATGAGGAGAAAAATTATCCCGAATTTCCTGCAGTTTTGTCCGCAAATCAAAAATTGTTGTTGAGGGTGGTTTCTTAAATATTGCTTTATTTTATGCCACACAGTTTCTATAACATTGAGGTCCGGACTACTTGCAGGATGGGATAGAACTTTTATATTATTATTACCGAACCAATTTTTAGTTGATTTTGCTGAATGGCACGATGCTCCATCTTGTTGAAAAATCTTGTCTTCGTTTGGAAACAATTCTTGAGAACTAGGCAAAAGTGAGGTCTCAAGTATATGTTGATATTTTTGGGCGTTAACAGTGCCAACTATAAAATTTAATTTGCCCAAACCTCTTACTGACATGCAAACCCAAACCGTAATCCCCTTAGGAAATTTAACAACCCTCTTTAAGCAGTCTTTATGAGGCTTCTGCTTTATTTCGTATTATTCGTTTTCGATGATCTCCAACGCAAACATCAAATTTAGACTCATCGCTAAATATGACTTTATTCCAATCATTTTGTGTCCACGATAATTTAGATTTTGCCCGATTGTAGCAATTTTTCTTTTGAATTTCTGTCAATAGCGGTTTTTCTTTGGCCTAAATAAGAATTTGTATCAATAATCTTCAGATAATTGATTATCCACACAAAATAAAGTTTACCTTGTAAAACCCCAGACCGCATTTATGGATATATTTTCTGCAACATTCTCTTGATATATTTAAACCAGTTACAGTATTCCATTTAACTGTTACTTCGCGAAGAGTACTTCTTCTCGCAGACTTGCGCAAATTTTTACTAAATTTCGTAAATCACTCTGAGATACAGCTTTTGGCCTTCCCGAACTTTTACCTCTAACGTCTACATTGGCAGATTCGCCGTATTTTTTTTATTATATTAAAGACCGTGGTTTTTGGAATACTTAATTCATCAGAAATCTTTCGAATTGTTTTTCTCGTACTGTATTGACGAATGATAATTTCACGTAGTTTTTGATTTGTAGCTTTTCCGCGGACCATTACTTTGAATTAAATTAACAAAATTGAAAATTAAAAAAAAATAAAATTACTTACAGTAAATCTTACTATTCAAAGTATCGAGTCACTTACAAGCTGTCAATGCTGAAGTAAACAGTTTGTGACATTTGTGACGTTTATAGCAAAGCCGCCTATGCTGATATTAATTATTTAAAAATACTTGTCCCAACATTTAGTTGTCAGCAAATTTGTCCTTTTATGAACAAAATCCGCTGCTGTAAATATGGATTGATTTACAAATTCACAAAAATATTGTCAAGTTGTTTAGGATATATGGCTATGTTTATATTTAAAAAATTAAACGTATATTTTTCAGCCATTTTGAAAAACCGGGGCAATAATTCCAAAATATGACCTTATCCCGACATATTAGTATAGATTCAGTAGGTCTGAGAATAAGGTTGTTATCTATTTTTTATACCCCTAAGTGATAACGGTGGTCCACCCCAATTTAAGCATTTTTTTGTAGATTCCAGTACAAGTGACGAAATACCCATAGGAGTATTTTGAAAAGGTGTATGATGTGAAACTTTCATGATGTCAACATTTCTCAGCTTACTTGTATAATATGTAAGTGCACCATTGCGTTAAATATTTCCATTACTGCAGCCATAACTAAACCGATAAACTGATCTAGCAAAAAATATCCCACAATAGCAGGTACTTTTAAAGGTGGATAAACTTCTATTAAAAATGACACGGCCACACTAGCTTTTCTTATATCTGAAACAGAAGACACCAAGTAGAGCTAATTTAACCCTTTATAGGGCAGTAGGTACTAATTATTTGGTAGTTTGATCAAATTCACCTCAAAAATATATAAACTAGCACAAAAACAAACAAGGGAGTGAGGGGGTGGTGGTCGATTTGTCTTAATACCATTTTTATTAATTTCCCAACGTCTTTCCCACGTTGGCTTGCACGAAAAAAAAAACTAGCCCGACGTCTACCCGTTGTCCGAATAGGATACGTCTCACTGATAATCTCTAAAGTAACGTCCAATTATATTTTGTTGTATTTTATGTTCATATTTATTACCTAATTTACGTATCTCTATTTACGTCCGTAAATACAATCCATTAAGTAGTATTTGCGGCCTAATGAACATCATGAACATAACCTTATAAAAAGTTTTTGTAAACAAACTTAATTTTTTTATTATATTATATTAATATGTTATAAAAAACACTAAAAAGGCATTTAGACATTCATCTACATTTTACAGAAAGAGGTCGAGGCTTTTGTAAAATAATAATAGTAGTAGTGATGTCTTGCCTCCACCCCCGAATGCAGAGGAGACTGCACATCAGCCAGAACAGGTAGGTATACAATACTTATGTTTGTGGTATTAAGAAAGTATTCTCCTCATTCAAGTAGTGGTAAAAACATTACACAACAGCATTACACTGGTGCATCTTAATTTCTTTTTTTAGCTTAGGAAACCAGCAGACCCCATCCTCCTCCCACATGTGAGGTACTATGGTTCCAATTCTTTTAAATTTTGTAATATATACTATCTTAAAAAAGTGGCTGCCCATTTTTTTAAGGAGAAAACAAAAACTAAATTATAATTGCACAAATCCAAAAATCACTAATACGCAAAGTGAAGTTATGCCTACGAAAACGTTGAACCGTCAACCGTAAAACATTTTTTGACAACAAACAATTGACCTATCATAGACCAATAACAGACAACGTCGGGAATCGTTTACCAGAAATACGAAAAATTATATGCTCTGTGGCCGACGACGCATGCTCACTGGTCGAACATTCAACCGCTTACGTTAATTTTTGACGCCATTTCGGTCAACGTATAGATATGGTTGAATAAATGGCAAAAGCGCGCATAGAAATAATCATAGCAAACAAACTGCATGATAATACACTTCAATGCGACTGTTTACTTGGTTAAATTAAAGTGGTCGATTTAGCGACCAGCAACCTATAAAGGGTTAAATTTGAGAATTAATATATTTCGGTCTTACCCAGAGAATGTAAAAATATATTTCCAACGATGGCAAAAGAAAGGTAAGCTGCCATAGATATATTTACTAGTCTAATTCTATGAATCATTTTTGACATTACTGTTTCACTGGTTTGGGAAAATGGCCAACTCAAATCATCAGAATTTCGCAAGAGTCCATTTATATTTTCTTTTAACTTCAGAAAGCCAATGCATGCTACCAAAGCCTTAAAAAATTGCAATATTAAATCAACAATTTTAATGTAAAAAAGATGAAGATAAAAATTGAAGAAAGAAAAGGGTTAAAAACACATTTTTAGATTATTTCACAAATAGGAACATTTAATTAGTACTATAGCTATTTTTTGGCATTACGAATATCCTTTAGTGATTTGGTAAAAGATCCTGCATCGTAATTCGCTATTTTTTTCTACTTCTATTGCGTCTTGTGGAATGTAGAATGTTTAGGAGGGGAGTTAATCACCGCGACCTTACAGAGCTATTGTGTATTCCCCTTTCTTGCGTTATAACTCATCATACAGTCTCAGGGCTTTAACAAAAGCCAGTATCTGAGACGGCTCCACAGAGATCAGCTCTCCATCCTCAATGTCAGCCGTACCAAAGTTCATGGCACGAATGGTCGTCGTCTCGGCGCACTCAGTGATAAGGTGTTCTGGTGTTTCCCCATTTTTCCCACAGAATCTGCATTTGCCGTTGTTTCTCAGCTTCAGCCTACTGAGGTGTTGGCTGAGGAGTGTCCTGCTAGAAACCCCGTGACAATCCAAAGATTGTTTTTACTTAAATCAAAGAAAACCTTTGATTTTTCTCGGTCGGAAGTTCTGAGGAACTTTTTCGAGTGTCTTAGACCGTTGGAGGACACCCATTTCAAGTTACGGATAGAGTCTTCCAAATTCTTCAGTTCCGCTTTCAGTTGTTTCCCGTTTGGAAAACAGAACGGTTCTGGTCCAGTTAGTGGAGTGGTTGCTCCTTTTCTAGCTAGATCATTTGCTTTTTCATTGCCTTCTATCTTTTGGTGAGCAGGCACCCAGAGTAGGAGGACTTTATTTTCTATGCTTAATTTGTTGAGCTTCTCTAGGCATTCATTGACCAACTTCGAATTGATGGTTACTGAGTTGATCGCGTTTAGTGCTGCTTGACTATCTGATAGGATGACAATTTCCTGTTTTCGATAGTTCCTGAATGAGACTGGGGTAGGTGCCCATTGGAGTATTTAGTATTCGGCCCAAATACTCCTATCTATGTCCCTGCTTTGGTTGTGGTATGGTCTTTTATATGCTGAGTAAGCGTTTCTTCCTTCCAATCCTTTTTATTACTCAATACTACGGTGAGGTGTTTCTCAAAGTTGTAAATTCTTGGTATGTCGTCCACTGGGAGTTGGAGAAGTGGAATTTTCTTTCTGTTGTGTCTTAAATGTTATTAATTATACATTTTCTAAAAGAGGTTTGTCACCAAGTCTAAGACCAACGCTACAACTCTCTAACGTACTGTTTATGCATTGCATTACAACATTGGTATTGTTTAAGTTCATCTTTCTGAGTCATAGATAGGCCTTATACAGGATAAGTCTTAAAACAGTGCAAATATTTTTAGGGGAAGAATTAAGCCAGCATGGAGTACTTATGGAAGAAACTCAATCATATTCAAATCTAAAATACCACTTTATCTAAAGAAGAAAACATTCGACCAATGTGTACTATCAGTCATCACATATGCATGCAAAACCTGGAAATTTAAAACGGACATTATAAGGAAACTGCAGGTCGCACAACACGCAATAGTGTATCCAAGAATAATAACCAAGAAAGACCGAAATAATAGAGTGAATACGACAAAAGATCCAGGTAATAGATAATGTAATAGATGAATCAAATTCCTTAAGTGGCAATGGTCAGGACATTGGGTAAAAAGGATGGAAACAGATGGACCACAAAAATTACAGCATGGTACCCACGAGGGATAAAACCTGAGATGGAACCATCATATAAGGAAATACACACACCGGAAAAATCTAGGGATATAATTTTATTAAAGTTAAAAATAAATGTTTTGAATAAACAACCACATATTTGTAGACCGACTCTTTCTACTTCGATTGAAACGAAGTAGTCACACTAGTTATTTCTAAATTTGGGATATTTGTAGAAGTGTTTGTGCATTTTTTGTCAAATGTATAAAAAGCACCTAGCATCAATTGTTCGAATTTAACCTGTACTGGCTATGTTTTTTTGATAACTGGCCAGAATTCATTCAAATAACTCTGTTTAGTATTAAACGACATTATGGAGCGTAGACATCTTAACAGAGACGAAAAGCTAAGGGCCATGGGTATGCTTGAAGCTGGAATGCGCCAAATCGAGGTAGCTAGAGCATTAAATACAACTCAAAATGTAAGTAATATCGCGATTAAGTAATAAGTAATACCGTGAAAGTGGTGATGTTGCTGAAAGGCACACAAGGCGACATCGCATTACTACACCCCTCAGCAAGATCATTTTTTACAATTAAATGCTCGACGCCGACCGACTCTTACAGCACCAGAGCTTAGTTTAATTCTCCAGAAAACACATAATGTAACCGTTAGTCCTGACACTGTTCGCAATAGATTAAGAGAGGTCAACTTAAGAAGACGCCCCTAGAGAGCTCAACCCTTAACGAGAGGAAATCGAGAGGTACGATATTTGTGGGCTCAAGATCATGTTCAGTGGTCGAATGAACAATGGGCCAATGTTCTCTTCACGGATGAGTCATGCTTTGGAATTCATCCGGATTCGAGAAGGCTTAGGGTATGGAGAGAACCAGGAAATCTTATTCGGTTGGATCATCTTCAGGAAGTACACCCTTATCAAGGTGGAACAGTTATGGTCTGGGGAGGAGTCCAGTTAGGCCGAAAAACCGATCTCGTTTTTCTTGAAAGTTTCTAATAGGAATCACGTATCGTGATTTAATTCTTGAGCCTGTCGTGTTACCATATGCCAATGATTTTGGGAGAAACTTCATTCTCATGCATGACAATGCACGGCCTCATACAGCCAGAGCGGTAAGTGAGTTTATCAATGCTCATCAATTAAACATCTTACCCTGGCCTGCACAATTTCCTGACCTCAACCCCATCGAGCACGTATGGGACGCGGTCCAAAGAAGAATTTTGAGAATGGGTATGCCTCGTGAAACTCGTAGGGATCTGGTTCGGACCGTGAATGCAGCGTGGCAGGCTGTACTTCAAGAGTGAGATCGACAACCTGATCAAGAACATGGAGAGACGATGTAGGGCTGTAATGAACAGTAGAGGAGGCCATACCTTTTATTTTTTAATTCGCAGTTTAGAATAAAAAAAAATGTGTGTATTTTTTTGAGTTCAATAAAAATCAAGGTAAATTTGAAAAATTCGGTAAATTTCGCATTTTTATTTCCAATACGTTCTGTAAACTATTTGTTTATTTTAATTTTATTATATCAGAAATGCAAATAATAAAATTATTTACGATGGCTGGATAAAATTGTAATATCCCTAGACTTTTCCGGTGTGTGTACATATAGACAAAAATGGGCCCAACTACAAACAGAGTATCTAAGTATGTGAGGGAGGGTATACCATAATTGTGTGGAAATGTTGAAGAAGATGCGGACATGATGATGATGATGGTACTAAAAACTGGAGTAGCTGGAAAATAAGGACATTACACGATAGGTAAATAATAATAGCTTTTAATACTATAGAAAGATAGAAGTAACGAATCAAGTACTCACCGTAATTAAAAGTATCATGCTCAAGTACGTATTAATTTTATGAAATTTGTCGACGAACACATAAAGGAAAAATTCAAATATTAATAGTGCAACACTGAGACCTATAAAGAAATAAACCAAGTAGGTACAAGATGATAAAAATGAATAAAATCTATAAGATAAAAAGTAATCGTTTAATATTTTAACCATTTTTGTTACCACTATACAAGAAAGAGCTGACGATAATAAGAACTAATTATACTTATTTCATACTAAAAAATCATTAGTCGAATATCCATACAAACAGAATTATTCTTTAATTATTGTAATACGATTATGAAAAAATGCATGCATAGGTCGTTAAGAACATTTAAAAATGCACAGGGAAATGATTAGAACATAGGCAAGTTTTCCATTAGCATTTACTATTTTTTTAATTATAATTAAAAAAAACAGTAATTAAATGTAATGGAAAACTTGTGTTTAAAATATTAATATGGACAATATATTTATACTAATACATCTATACTAATATATAAAATCCTTAAGTGACTGACATACTGATTAATCACGATCCTGCTCAAACCACTCAACGTAAGAAGCTCAATTTTGGCATACCAGTTGATTCTAGGGTGTAGAGGTTCGATAAAAAGGGATTTTTCGAAATTCCAGTTCCAAGGTGGTGAAATAATAAAATCAAATATTACAATATTTTTTATTTAAAAAACGGCCAAGTTTCCAAAAAAACGCTTAAACACGTATATTTTATTTTTTTTTTACATATTTTAAGATTTTTGAAAAAGGGGGTGTTTCAAAAAATCTGGTTATTGATTAATCACGATCCTGCTTAAAGCGCTTGACGTAAAAAGCTGATTTTTGGAAAACGGATTGACTTTAGGGTTAGAGGTTCGATAAGAAGGGATTTTTCGAAAGGGACTCGAATTCTAAGGGGGTGAAACCACTCCTCAAATATTAGAATATTTTTTATTTAAAAACCGGTGAGTTTTTCGGAAAAACTCTTAAACATGTATATTTTATTTTGTTGTTTACATATTTTAAGATTTTTTAAAAATTTATACAGGGTGTTTCATAAAATATGACCATTGAGTAATCACGATTCTGCTTAAACTGCTTGACGTTTAAAGCTGATTTTTGGCAAACGGATTGTCTGTGGAGTGTAGAGGTTCGATAAGGAGGGGTTTCTCGAATCTCAAATTACAAAAGGGCAAAAACTCCCCTCAAATATTACAATATTTGTTATTTAAAAAACGGGTAGTCTTTCGGGAAAACGCTCGGCCACGCATCGTTTATTATGTTTTTTTTTACATATTTTGAAATTCTTTATAAGGTCATACAGGGTATTCCAAAAAGTTGGGTAAATGATGAACCACGATTCTGCTTAAACTATCGAAAGTCAAATTCTAACGAGACGAAACTACCTCTCAAATATTACCAAGTTATATAATAATATAGCCATATT